GCCTTCTTCCACCGAGCATACTCCTCTTTCTCCTGCTCAGGAGCATCAGCCGCCGGCACCGCCGGGCAAGCATCAGTGATAGCAAACTTATAACCCTCAGCAGTCAACACTATGTCTAAGTTCCTCTTCCAATCAATGTAATTAGGACCAGTAAGCTGATTTTCTTTTAGAATGACAGACAACGGATTGAACGACATGATGAATATCCTGAGAATCATGCAAATAAATTTTACAGATTAAACACTTTTGAATTTAACTGTTAATATTGATATCCTCAAAACAACATTAACTTAAATCCACCGACATCTATTACACCTTGTGAGAATGCATGCTACGAGGGTCGCCCTACAAACTCGCATTTTGTAAGAGAAGGGCTTTTCTAAGGCCCATTAATTTCCATAAGTCAAAACCAAATTCATGACGAACGAAATTAATAGTCGGTCTCCATTTGGCCATGCAATAGAATTCAGGGACCCCGAGGGGGGTTAATAAATTTAATCGCATTCTAAGTGAATCCCATTTCTCGGTCCTAAGGTCGTCAAATTTGATTATACGTCATCCGAGGGGAAGCCCGTACGCTCTCATAAGATTTCCTCTAACCGTCTACTTTTAGAAATTTGTCCTGGTAATTTCCTACAATTAATTTTAGCAATGTCACCCGAGGGGGAGCCCATAACCGCAATTAATTGATTTACCGACAAATTAGAAATGGAGGCCTTAGGAATTTTACAATTAACTTTAATTTAAAATCCCTTCTCAAACTTAGTATAATTTAATGAGGATTTTTAACTATTTATACAATTCCAAATTAATCTATGTTAATGCAATAATTAATTAACATGCATATTAATTCATGCAATTCTAAATTAATCTATGTCAATGCAATAATTAATTAACATGTTCAATAATTTATGCAATTCTAAATTAATCCATGCCAGTGCAATAATTAATTACATGCATAATTTATTGACACAATTCTAAATTAATTCTATGCATTACATAATTAATTAACATGCATAATTAATCTAGCAATACTAAATTAATCCCATGCAAGAACATAATTAATTAACATGCATAAATAATAATTTAATGGCATAATAAATTTAATTAAATAAATAAATAAATCCACTATTATGGCCATTAAATATTGAGTCTCCTTAAACAAGGAAACTGTGACAGTTCTTTTCCCTGTTCAACTGGAACTCCTTTAAGCAGTAGAATCCTGGTTGATCTTGTACTGCTTGGACAAGAAGGCAAAACCTCTCCACCTCCTGCAGCCAACCGCCGACTGCCGCCTGGCCGCCGCCGCCAGTGGTCGGAAAAACGCGCCGTTTCCTTTTTTTTTTTTTTTTTATTCTTCGAGGCTCGTTGATCTCTTGTGATCTCCCGGTTATCAACACACGATCACAACACGAAAAATATAATTTACAAAATTACATAATTCGATCCTAGATCCAACGAATGGATGTACATGTTTTCTAAACAAATAATTAAATCTATCCGGTCAACCCCCGGGCGAATAATTATTACAAACATTCATCCATAAATTCCTCGACATGCCCGAGGCTTTAAAAACAAATTTAAAACCATACATCACATTCAACAACATTCATCAAACACATAATCGGCCATAATAGTGGATTAACTATTTTCCTGCAAAACCGAGTTATGCAAATATAATCCAATATATGGCTGCGTTTGAACACATCTTGTCAAATAAAGCCGTAAAAATTCGAACTTTGTACAAAACGAATTAACCAAGTGCTCTGATACCACTTGTTGGGATCTGTGAGGATCTCGTTATGTACAAATCACGAATTCAATAGCAAACGTAAACCTATGCGCAGCGGATCTAAAGGTTTGACGTAGAGAACTTACGGCTTAAAATTTATGTAGATCTGGTTGACCACGAACGGTTGACCGCAATTGATTGACCGCAACACGCGTCTTGGGTTGCACGAACAAGATCAGATCAAAACTGGATCAAACGGATGCAAACAGATCAAAACGAAATTTTGCTGCCAGACACCTTCCGGCGGCGCGTGAGGGCGCGTGCGGCGTCGGATTCCGGCGACGTCGGCGGCGATGGAAAGCTCTCGTCGAGACGGTCGTCTGGGTATACTGTACGTCTCAATCGGACTTCCGGTTAGTTCTGTAGGTCAAAATCAATTTCGTCTCGGTTTACCTACAGATCTTCTACTGTATTACTCAATACACCCTTCTTCAACTTGTACCAGTGGAGCAACAAGAAGAAGATAAAGCTCGAATGAGATCTAGAGAGAGAGACGTGTTTCACGTGAGAATGAGACTTCTATTCTCTTCTCATGAGCTTAATGATGTATATATAGAGCTACAGTAGGGACCCTAAGGAGATTAGGAAAAGGGCTCCTTAATTAATTAGACTAACTGTGGGCCAAACCCACTCCTCTAATTAATTAAATAATATTAATGGGCCACCAACATTATATTATTGCACTCCCTTTCCCTAGCCCAAATTACATTTGAGACTCCAATAATAATTACTCGATTTACCTCCCCACGTTTAAGATATAATGTCCATTAATTAATTCGATTACTGACAATCAAGAATTAATTAATTTATTATTATTTCACCGAAGCTAGCGCTCGTTCATCACATTCTTATTATGCCGGAATTTAATCCACCTGCAGGGTTTAGCATAACAATCCTTCATGAACTCACTCCGGGGACATCATCAAACTAACGCACATGGTGACCGTAAATATCCTAACAGCACATCCTATATATAATAATATTACCCAAAACAGTAGGAATATTAATCCAGCGAACTGAACCTCACCCATGTGAATCAAAGTAATATATATTATATATATCTGCCTGTTTAATATCTTACGGGTTAAGAGAACGCAGTAATTAACCGAGGCCTAGTTCATTTACGACGATCAGTATAAAATGAACTTCTCCTCTCTGGGATCCTGTTCAATACATAAATGTACTAGTGCAACTAATCAGTCAAGACAAACTGTACAGTTGACACTACAACCGTTCGGATGGGGTGTTCATGTCCATCTAGGTTGTGAACAACTATTCTTGTTCGCAAGTGACTGACAGAGTGATCTTCGGTTCGCCCGATGACGACCCACCCTATCTAAGTGCAGAACAACAGAACGTAGAACTTGTTTAATCTAACATGATTCTCATTCATAAAGGGTAAATGTGTAATAACATGCAAAGCCAAGCTTTCAGTATATAACACTAACAATTATGCTAGAACTCGTCGGGGATGAGATACCCCGATGATATCATGATCAAGCCATGCTTGGAGACCCATAAGGGGCGAATGGATATGCTGCAGGCCCAGTGAGGAGGAAGATGCCAAGTTTGCCATATAGTCAGCCGTAAAATTTGCTTCTTGATGCACGTGTTGGACCTTAACGCGCCACTCCTTGTGGACCAAACTATGAATGGCATGGACCAAAGCTTCATGAACTCCATAACTGCCTCCTGGACCAAAGACCATTGTCGTAACACATTGGCTATCAACTTCTGCAATCACTTGGCGATAACCCCTATCCCATGCCATCTGGAGTCCTTGATACATGCCCCAAAGTTCAGCACTTGTGATAGAGCTGAGGCCAATATTCATAAAGAATCCCTCGATCCATTTGCCCGTCTCATCACGAATGAGACCGCCAGCACTACTCAGGCCCGTGGTGTTCTGGAAAGCACCGTCTGTATTCACTTTGATCAACCCCGTGTCAGGAGGGGTCCACCGAATCAGACGCGTAACGTGAATATTAGCGCCCACCTTTCGAAATGCTTCTACCGTTCGGGCATAAGCCATGGTCAATCGCATCACTTCCAGTCCCGTAAATTCACTGTTGCGCGCATGGTGATTAAAAGTTGAATGTACTATATATCCTAAATACTTTTAAAATTATAAAATACAAAATTAATTTATAAATATTTTTAAAAAATAATGAGTTTTATATGTTCTTATTTTATATCAAATTAATTATTTTTTATACTATACAGTATATATGTAAATAAATGGTCATGCTCAAGTAAGAATGATGTTCAGTGAAAGAACTAAGAATACATCATAGTCATTAGATCAGATGATCTAACGGCTAAAAAAAACAAAAATTATACTTTCATTAAGGGCATTGTTGTAATTTTCCACACCCAAAGAGGTGGACCCCTCTCAACACCAACACACCATACCCACTAGCGAAACCGCCCACCCCACCCCACCCCCTCTCTCTCTCACACACAGACACATGCACACACACACACACATAGTACACACTTCTCTCACACACCCGTCGGACCATGCCACCCGCCGTCGGTCCTCGCCTCTCACCGTCGTCAGCGCCTTCATCCACCTCGGATCGCACAGTCGTCTACTCCGCCAGCGCCATCAGATCGGACGAGGTCAAATTCCTCATAAATATGTCTGAAATGTCGTCCCCGCCATGAATGTGAACCACACGAATCTCGCAGGAGTAAAAATCTCAGCTCCAAGTCTCGGCCCTGTGGCGGGATAATTTCGCTAGCTCTTATCTTGAGCGTGAAGACGCGGCGTCGAATTTGCCAGGAAAAGTGAATAATCCCTCTGAAAATCAAGCGTGACGGACGAACGATTTTTAATTTTGTTGCTACCACTCGCACGACTATTTCCTGAATTCCTTTCTGACCAAAAGTTCCTTTTTATAGTGGTAATGATGTAATTAGTGGAGTTAGGAAGGTTAAAATAGTCCGAAAATCAAAAAAATAAGGGCACATCTGACATTTTACTTTTCAGGATAAGTTCAATCCCACCAAAAATTCAAGATGGATCTATCCCATTTTCATGGGATTAATTGCTTTTTTATCCCGAGCCTTGCCTTAATACCGGGCTTGAATCTTTCGTAACAAACGTGGAATAACTGAAGGATAAGCTAGGATATCCTGACTTATCCCACCAAACAAACAAGGGCTATAGGATAGAGGGGGTTATCCTACATCAGGAAACAAACGTAAACAAACGAAGCCTAAAAGGATAAGTGAAACCGCTCTAATCAATTAAACCCGCTTAAAATCTACAAAGGGTTTCAAATTCCTAGAGCATTTCGATTTCTCCACATAACCTCCAGAAAAATTGTCTTGCTGATGGGGAAGGCCAAAAGGAACCAGGCCATTGTCATCTCGACCTCCGATGACGATGACAACAACGATGCAGATTTCTCCCTGGAAGCAGGTTACCGTTTTTCAGAATCAGCTCCAAACAGGAAGAACACTAAAAGAGCTAAGAAGGTTCCGTCTGCGAGCTCTTGCCCGCGGCCTTTCCCACAGTCTCGTTCTAGTGGATTTGATGAGGTGCATTTCGATTATTTGTCACATGTTTACTGAAAATGTGTTTATTTGAGCCGGTCAATGGATTCGTTGTTTGGTGGGCTCAGTGTGATACTGGAGGATTAATGGGGGATTTTATGACTTAAAGTTTAGCTTAAATTGGTACGGTGTTACTGAAAAGTTGTGATGTTATTGTTCATGGTTTTTTTATTTTTTCGAGTTTTCATAGGGTTTCATATGAGAAAGCTCACACTACTTCGATTATGATCGAGTTATATGACTCCTGGGTTTTTCTGTCAGCATCTTCCTTTCCTTGGTTTTCCAAAATTGTCCGAACAGACAACAATCATGTTATAAGGGAACCCTTCTGGAAGTAATACCGATTATTGGACAATCCCCCTCTGGAGAGCACATTGAACATGTTCACACTTGACACTTCACAGTCTCGAGAAGTGTAACATGGTTAAACTATAATTTGTGTTATTGGATATATTCTATATTTAGTATCATCAGATGTTAAGCTAATGGAATTCATATATAACGACCCTCATGTCTTTGCCCCAATCGCCCTCCTGACCAGTTTTGTTAATGTAAGGTCCTTGCTGCTTCTCAAAACTATCTTACCTGCAAATCGCACAAGCAAATACTTAACCAATATAAAGAGGTTTCTTTTGCCAATCACTCCTTGCTGCTTTCAAAGAAACACTTACTTCCTAAGTCAGATCCGCTTGTTCGAAAGTGTTTTCACTGTGCTTTAGATCACAGTAAGTACCGCCTTAAGCAGTTCTGACATCTTCCCAAGAGGCAGATATGCCGAAGCACAGCCGATTCGGACTAAGTAGTTATAGGATATGCAATTCATGCAATTGGTGTTATAGGATACACCATTCCTGTGAGCTGTTTCGTTCTCCTAGAATGTTTTGTTCCAAATATGATCAACCACCTCAAACCTAATGCATGTTTCTCTTCTCAGAGACACTCTGATTTTAATTATGTATTAGATTAGCTGACAGTGACTTGCGAGATCTGACTGCTCTTATCATAGGTCAAAGCAATAATTTGAAAGTTGAAGATTGTGAAACAGGTCACTTTGAGTGGCAAGAGGGGTTGGCATGCCATTTATCCAAAGCATAGGAGATGGAATAACTTCGCTTCTTTGTCAAACTAATGATATAATATGATGCGGGAATTAATGGGTTTGAATGAATCCATATTCCATAGAGTAATCAGACTGTGTTTTGATTTGTTTATTTACATCTTGTAGATGGTGTGAATCAGGAAATAACACAAAAGATTGTAAAAACTTCTAAAGTAGCAATTCACAACCAAATTGCAAAGCCAGATGTCATTTATTGACACCTTATTGCTGAGTGCAGGTCAGACGTATTTGTGAAGAATTTGATCAAGGACTTACGCAGTTCAAGGTAACAGCTGGTATGCTATTAAAATATTTCATCATGATTTGTGATATATACCTTGTGAAAATTGAGATTCTTTTTGTGAAGTTTATGGAGGAATAATTCAGGTCAATAAAATATTTGTCAATGTCATGATCATCTATGCATCATATAAGTTTTGGTCAAATGACCCTTCTGTTTGATAATTCTCCTTCACGTTGTTTTAATTGTTGCATGCTTCAGAAGTTATTAATCAGCAAAGAGAAGCATCGAAATCCCGATCAAGTTGGATTCACTGTATATTTAAACATTGAAGTGTTTGAATTTGACATGTATGTTGTTATGTAATACCACAGTCATTTTGTTATAGTCCTTAAGCCAGTAGGTTGGTTTATCTTTCTGCACACTGAATCCCACTACTTCTTTGATTTATTATTGAACTCATTCTCGTATAGGTTTGAGTTGTAACATGGATAGGTGGGTGGAAAAGTATAGGCCTAGTTGCTTGGAGGAGCTAGCTGTTCATAAGAAGAAGGTATTTCTCTGAGTACATACACGCCTGCACACTGACATATTTATAATTTGATATCCAGCCTATCAAATGTGTATGATCGATCTTGGCTTGCAGGTTGAAGAAGTTAGAATGTGGTTTGAGGAGAGACTAAGAAATTCTGCAGTATGTCTTCTCGTTTCCTTCTTTCTAAAATTTCCATTAAAGCATACTTCTTAGTTACTCGCTTATTCACATCCTTCTGGATACTGTTATTTGATGAAGCTACAGTCCTATCAACTCTAGGTAATATTTGGTTGGTTCATAACAGAAGATGTGATAAGAAAATCACGTCGTTCTCTCCTGGAATACCCTCAAGGATTTTATTATACCTTAAAGTCAACAGTTGTAACAAATATATTTTCAATTTCATGCAAACCAATTGAGTATCTTTGAGTTCCGGGAGATAAGAAAAAATTATTGTCTTATTCAGAATCTTCTTTCTATCTTGTGGACTTACATTGATTTGTGTAAGTGTCTATAATGTGGAGAGTTATATTATCATAAATATGATTATTTGTTTTTCCATTTTTTTTCCTTTACATGATCAATATATTTGGTTTCATGCTCTGCTTAAAGTATAAAGCATATTATGAGTGCAAACCTTGTGTGACAATAGGAACAACTAACAAGATGACAATAATGAGTTTGACTCGGTAAAAGTATCGCTTTCTTTGGGTGCCATTGGATATCCGTAATTTTTTTTTTTCTTATTTCTGATTTTGGTTTGTTTTCGTTGATCTGTTATAGAACGAGTAGAAGAATGGTTGGTGACTTTTGGAAATGTGTGAGTGGCTAACTAGTGCTATTCGTTAGAAAATGTGTACTAATGCTAGTTTTTTAATTTTAATTAGTTAATTAATTTCTTCTTTTTCTTCTCTCTCTCTCTCTCTTTAATTTTGTACCGTCAGCTGTCTGAAAATTAACAGTCCATTCTTATGATTGTTAACTAACAACATTTATTTTTTCTCTTTAACTATTGTATTGGATTATATGCAGGGTAATTCAGACAGCAATGTAATCATTCTCTCTGGGCAAGCTGGGGTTGGAAAATCTGTATGCATTGTTTTGAACTGGATTTTATTTTGGGTTTGTCTGGATTGAGTATAGTGGAATAGTACCATCTATTTGTCTCCTTCAGTTAGTTGACATTTTCATGGCGAGTATTCTATTTGCGCATGAATAATGCATTGGATAATATCATCTTGTAGGCAACAATCTATGCTATTGCACGCCATCTTGGAGCGGAAGTGCATGAATGGAACACACCTACCCCCACGATATGGAAAGAGCATCTGCATAATTCTAATTCAGGTACTCACAGACTAAGATTTGCAAGTGCCTGTCTCATTCAAGATGTATCTATCTTTATATCTCAACTGTAACCACTAACGACTTGCTTGTTTATACATTTTTCTCAAAAAAATCCAATCCAAACTCAAATCTAACTCAACTTTAACTTACCTCCCACTTTTCTCAATATTATCAATATAATTAAATAATATGAATCAATCATCCTTACAAATCAAATCAACTTTAATTCACTATTTATCCACTCACATAATTTTAACTACCTATCACTTCCAATCACTTTTCTCCTACTTTTACATCAAATCAACTTTAATCATTTTATTTTAAATATTATTTTAATATAAATTCAAACTCCCACTCAAACCAACCTAACTCAACCAACTTTTTCAAAATTAACTATGGTTAACCAAAAAAACCAATTAACACCAAAAAAATCTATAAATAAGCATGCCCTAAGCAAGCCTGCAAGGCATAATGGTATGCAGTTGTGATGAAAATAGAGTTCCAATCCAGCAGTGGTACTAAGTATCAATATTGTTTATGACTATAAATTCATATCCAGGAATGCCACCCATAGCTGTTAAAAATATGTATATCTTATTATTAATGAGAAGTGCAAATGTGGTGCATTGAATTGGAATTATACCTTGTATCATTTACAAGTTAGATTAAGCAACACATAATTTTGTCATTCCATTTAGAGGAAATATGGGACAACAGAAGAGAAATTGACATATCCTAAACAAGCATAGTATGTGAAAGGGGAAACCAACTGCATCTTGGACCCTCTGTATCTTAAATGTTTATTAGTCTGGAAGCAGATAAGATTATTCTTTTGCACCCCCTATAGTTATCCTATTGTCGGGGATCTCTCTCTCTCTGAGTGTGTGTATGTGGCATTGCGTACGTGGCAGTTGGCTTGGCTTTTAATCTTCTCTTCCTCACTAGTGTTTGTTAAATTCAGTTATCCTATTAATCTTTCCTTCCCCACTTCCCTTTTGCTGTATTACTTTATATGTGTACTTAACCACAGATCAAATGCTCTATTGATTTACTGAAAAATTGGTGTAGGTAAGACTTATTTTGCCTTGCTCTTTAGTCACAGCGAATAGTTATTCGTATTGAAAATGTAGATTTCATAATTAAATTGTTACTATAGAAACTTCTTACAAGCAGATGCAACTTGACTCTTTAGGTGACTGGAGATAGAAAGGAGGTGTTCTAAAGTTCTAATTTCCTTGGATTAGTTAGGAGCGTCACGCAATTCTTTTGCATGAAAATAGTTATTTCTAAAGCTTTGAAATATACTTGGCGTCACTTGATAGGTGCCAATAACCTACGATAAAAGTTAGAATCAAACTGACAGGTTTTATGTCATCACATGATTTATGATATTTTAATATGCTTTTCTTGAAATTGAGTACTATTTCTTTTCCCTCATTGCATCTATTTGGAGGTTCTCAAGGGACTTTTTTTTATTGCTATTGATGTTTGTATCTTCTTCTTTGAATTTATTTTTCTTTATTTCCCTTGTTCTAAGTTCTATCTATTTTCTTTCTTCTTGAACACTCTTTGCTGTGATCTAGGGATACGATATATGTCAAAATTGGATGAATTTGAAAGTTTTGTTGAAAGGATCAGGAAATACGGATTAGTTTCCTCATCCTCGACCAGGTTATACGCATCATCAATCATACTCTTGATTGATGATCTTCCTGTGGTACATGGGAAGGTCTCTTATGGAAGACTTCAGAGGTGCTTGCAACTTCTTGTGCAATCAGTGCGTCTTCCTACAGCCATATTAATCAACGACACGGACAGATCTGAATATGCGGAGAGCCACAGCCGGTACTCAGAAGAACTCCAGCTAGCTCTACAAAATGCTGGGGCTTGTAAGGTGGCCTTTCTTACCTTGTCCTTTAGAAATCTTATATTTTTCTTGCTGAAGTATTATGAAGTCTATGGATCTTTTAGGTGTCGTTCAATCCTATCACAGTCAATTCCATCAAAAAGGTACTTAAGAGAATATGCAGAGAAGAAAATTTTGAGGCTAGTGATGAACAGATTGATATTATAGCAAAAGCCAGTGGAGGAGATATAAGACATGGAATTACATCTTTACAGTACATCTCACTAAAACCACATCCTAGGAAGTATTTATCTGTTTCAAAGGGGGTTCCAGCTTATCAGGAAAAGGAAGGGAGCTGGAGTGGTCATTTGGAAGATGGTGCCTCTCTGCCATTTGGAAAAGATGCTACTCTATCTTTGTTTCATGCATTGGGAAAATTTTTGCACAACAAGAGGGAGACTGAATGTTTAGTTACATCAGGTATATTGGTAAAATTGGTTTATGCATAAATGTGCTTTAGACATTTGAAACTGTTAACCAGGCTTTATAGAAAATGGACTTTGTTGGCTCACAAGTCTGAAATGTACTGCAAGTCTGAATTTTGCTATTTTGCTTCTAAGTAATGACGAGTGATTTGCAGTCTTTCAAATTAAATAAAAGAAACTAAGTATCAATTTCCAGTGACAACCACCTAACACTGTTTTTTTTGGGAAGATAACAATTCTGCTTTTAATCCCTGAACACTTTTTACGCGGACTCTAATTTTTTTAGAACTCCCATATGTCATACAACTGCATACAGGTTCCATTGACTCTTGTAAACCCCATTGCCAGCCAAATTGGTGACAATAGCTCTTCTGCAGGATTATCCATTCAAATTTCAGTTGCTAGATACTGAATTTTGCCATTTTTAAAACGATAACGCCACATTTGTATAGCTTAGGCTTCAATTTCTCAAATAGGTTGATTAGCTGCAGCAATGTTCTTTTCATTTACATTGCTTTCTTCATGAATGTGTTCTTGTGGAGTCACCCTTGAACAATAAGGAAAAGCGTTTATTCACACGATGTTCACCATATGGTCGTTGACATTTATTTTTGTTCCCAAAATACAGCGTCTGGTTTTTAAATCTTGGATATGCTTAGATTCTGAACGTAGGTTTCTCGATTCTGTGAGAACCAAAAGTTGACACACATTAGTCAAACCCAAAGCTTAAATAGATGTCACTAAACCCACCTAGGCTATGCTCTCTAGTTGGACAATGTACCACTTATCAGTATGTGTTCAAACTTTGGGCCATTAGATTACCTAGAGGTTAACTTGGGTTCTTATAATATGCCATGCCAACAAAAACGATATTCCGTGCTGCGTATTTATTTCTATCCTAGTTTTATAAAATAATGAAGGATCAAACAGCTATGAGGTAATAACATGTTAAAGACGACACTCGACTGTTTAACTGATATTTGCATATTCTAATGCAGATGGAGATGCATTTCCTCTTAAAGAGAAATTCGTCAGACGTCCTCTAAAAATGGATGCTCCAGAGTTGGTGCTATCTCAGGCACACGGGCAAGCGAGATCTATGGCAGATTTTATTCATGAAAATGGTAGAATCTGCAATGCATATATTGTTCTTAAATTGGTTGTTTATTTGCTACATGCAATGTTACAGCACCTAAAGATCTTATGAGTCACCATTTACCATCTTGACTTTTGGCCATCATACCTTGTTTTATCAATTTGTAGATATTATCTGCCTCTGTATATCAGTAACTTGCTTTTAGTGAAGTTAGAGAGCCACACTATCTACAGTTTTCTTTTCCTTACACGCTTGCAATTTTACAGTTTTAGACTTTGTGAATGAGGATGCAATTGAGGATGCGTGGGTAATCGAGAGATATTTAAGTGACACTGACTTGCTTCTCGCCCCATCTAGTGGAACTTTATGTCGAGACTTTGAAGTTGAGAATGTTAAACAATCTATTGCTGCTTCAGTTGCTGTGCGAGGAGTGTTGTTTGGGAATTCTGATCCACTGTCTTCTAGGTATGGTTTGATTTTATGGTTTTTGTTTGTTTGCATGACTATCATGCTTACTACAGTCACTTTGATATTGCAGGTGGCATGCTATTCGCCGTCCAGTCCTCTGGCAGGTTGAGCAGTCACTATGGCATAATAAGGTTAGTTTTGGCAATATAATTTTACATTTTGTGTGAATGAATATCATATCCTTGTCTTTGTTTTTCATTGAGAAAATTTTGTGCCATATCTGTAATGGCTTGTTTTGTGGTCAATCCTTCAGTCTGGTGATAAATCTTGTTTTACAACTTAAGGTAGATGCAGCATATTTACCAAATAATTCCATGAATCTTCCTCTTAGATTTAGCTTTAGATGAAGCACTAAAATTAGTGCACGCATGGACCTAGGCCTACTCATCTACATCTTGTGGTCATTACCTTTTATCAAACTGAATGGTGACTTTTTTCTATTGATGATATTCATGGCCAGTTGCAGCCAGTGTCTGTAGTGTTGATTGTCCCTTGATGTTTGATCTAATTACCTAAAAGTCTAATTTGCTCCAAAGTTTCATAATAAGTGTTTAGTTCCATTTGGAAAGTTGGTATCTGATGCAACAAAATTGAAATCCATAACAGATCCATATGAGTGGATAAAATGTATTTTGAATCCCAAGATATTATTTTGAAATATCTCTGAAGTCATTTGTGTGAATTAATTTACCATAAAAAAAAAGGAATGTCTAGTATTTTATGATCATTATTTTAATTTAACCCCAATTTTTGTCCAAATTGAATTTCTTGTCTGCTGATTGTTGCAGTTTCAAATTCTAAGTCAACTGGGAGATGGCCATATTGGTATAAGACAAAGCAATCAATCAGTTTTCGCGACCGAGTTTAAACCGGCTCTCAGCTGGCTTGGAAATAGATTATCTGACAATACCGAAGCTCATAATGCCAGAAAGGATGTTAATATCAATGAAGATGAATGTCATTACATGAGTTTGGATGAAAAAGATAATGACATTGATGATGATGATGATGATATCGAAGACTGGTAGTAGTATCTAATTGATCTGGTGTCTGTTGTTTTGTTAATATATATGTAAATATATGCTGCACCATTGTGATTCATAAATCCATATAACATTATTTTGACAAGTAACAATAGCAGTATTTGCACATTTTGTCAGGAAATTTGAAACAAGGGCAATGTTTAGGTGCGTTTGGTGGAGGAGTTTAGTGTCATTTTGCCAATATGTTGCTCGTATGTTGACTGGGGGATGAAGTTTCTGGTGAGGATCAATATTGCTGCATCTCAAATTTTGTCAGATTATTTACAGGACATTGCATTCACCAACTTTGATGACCAAGTCCATAGATAGACTCATCCAGTAGATTATTTAAACGAATTAAATATTATATACATCCAGACGTTCTGAAATAACTAGGATGTTAGCATGCTTGGATATAAAATCAATCCAAAAAATTCTATCATTTTTAACTCAACTATTTTTTTTAACTCAACTTTAACTCGACTCCATTATCATTAATTTTATCAATATAATTAAATAATATCAATCAATCATTCTTACACACAACATCAACCTTAATTCACTATTCATCAACTCACATAATTTTAACTAACCATCACATCACATCTTCTCTCTTATTTTTACATCACATTAATTTTAATCATTTTATTTTAAATATTATTTTAATTTATCCACTAACAACTAACCATACCAACTTTTTTAAATTTAACTAACCCAAACAAAAAAAGCCAATCAAAACCAAAAAATTTTATATCCAAGCATGCTCACTGATCGAAAAATCAATCGAATCAAATTCAACCATTGTTTACAGTAACAAACTATGTTTCGGTTTGGGTATAGCCTTATATAAGATATAAGATTCTTCTAGTGAGTCCTTTAACTTGTTTTTTATCCTCTTCGACAAAACGATTTGGTAACCAGTCAATAACCTTCATTTAATTGGAACAATTGTTAACAAAACAAGTCGTTGGTAGTTCACTTTTTTATTACATTTAAAAGAAATATTTTCAATATAATTTAAATACATATTTAAATAGTTATATTTATATATATAGATTATTATATAAACTCGCTTAAACATTTGCGTAATTTAAATTATATAAATATTTAATTTGTAACGTCCCCTTTTTCTTAATAAAAATATTGCTCAATTTCATCTATTTAAGCTTAAGTAATGATATAAATTTTGGAATTTATTCTGAAGCTATAAAAATTACTTAACTGTAGTGTTATTATCTTTAATCTTATAATTTTGGACAAATGCTACATATACAATTATAGTTGATAACATTAGTTGAGAACACTAGTTATCACAATCATTGAGTCAAATCTTAACCATACATTTATTTACATCTCAATTATCTACATCATGCCACATCATCTTTCCATAAAATGTTGTACAAAATAATTGTACAACTAACTTTTTTCTATAATTCTAGTCTAATTGAATTAAATAATCCAATTAACTATTTTCCTAAACTAAATTATCTCCAATTGACCTAATCTATCATTATATAAAAAGAATAACCTTTTTACAAATATAGAAATATTTTCCCGCCAAAATCATTAAATATATCCTATATATAGTAATTGTTGGACAAATCTGAATAGGCAAAAAAATCACTTCATTAATTTGTTTCTCTTTTGCAAAAAAAAAAAAAGGTTTAAAATTTATTTCTCTTTTTTCTGTTTTTTAGTTTATCAAAATCGTTGTTTGACAATAAATATTTATTTTTCTTTTTTCTATTTTTAGTATAAATCTACACTAGCTTATCTCTTCTGTTACAAAATCCCATTGCATACAGATCTCATCCCTTATCTATACAGATTTGAAAAAATAAAATAAAATAGAAACCAATTCATAATTACTACTAGAAATCCATTATCTACTTTAATAAGCTAATTTTCATCGGTCTAATTACTAATATTTTTACAAATATTATAAGTTAACAATACAAAAAAGTATAATAATAATTTTAAAATGGTGTGTAATCAAATTTTTTTATATTCTCTTATACAAAATAGTTTTACATTGTTTGACCCCGAATCTATAATTTATAATTATTAAGTATTGTTTATCCTCCTCTTTAATTTATAATTATTTTTTTCTTCCTCTTTTTTAATAGGATTAATAGTAGTTTCCACTTTCGTCATGGAGTGACTCTAACTTGAGATCTATTTATAATATTCTTAATTTAATATTATTCCCGCGCATCGCACTGATCGTTTTGAACTAAAAGAAAACTTTTTGGGGGAATATTTACATTAAGATTATGTCGACGGGTATACACTAGTCTACCTTAATTAACCTAATCAAATAAGTTCCGAGTTAACTTAAGAGACTCGGAAGCAGCAGCCTCCCTCTCGTTGCAAACACCAGCCGGCCCTAGTTCAAAGCATGCCCTAAATTGGTTGTGACGTAAGCAATTCTTTCCTCTTGGTTTTGTTTCAGCTATATTTTCTCCCTTCTTCTAGAATTCTTGAATTTTTCGCTGATTATTCTTATTTTATGTTGTATTGGAGTGTTTGCTCGTGTTTGGGACTTTCTCACATTTTGAATTAAATTTAAGACAGTTACAGTGATTATTTGGGTTGTTGTTGGCTGGAATTCTTCAAGGAGCTGGATTTTGTTTTAACTGGCATTGTGGTTGAACTTTTTTGGGGGTGAAATACTGAATATGATTCGATTTTGCTGAAAGACCTTTTCTT